TGGGGTAGCCCAAACATCATTCAGTTGGGAGGCAGATTGGCAACTATTAACCCAGAGATCACCTCCTAATTTGATACCATTGAGCTCACTGTTCAAACAAGGATAGAGTGGGGACGCTAGTGCTGCTAGAACAATCACTGAAGACAGTGAGGACATCTCAAAATGGAAGCCCCCTCAAAGTGTGAATGATATAATTTTTTCAGTAGGGCCATGGAGGCGGGTCCCTCCACTCAGAAGAGAAACCCTTCCAACAGCAGCTTATGGGCATTGTGTGCTCATGGCAGCCCCCTGTTTGGGGATTAGGGCTCTGGTTCTGATGGCCCCAAAAGTACTTCAAGAAGACCATCTCCGCTGAGCTGGTAACCTCCTCATGCAGGCATAGCTGCTCGACCACTAGCAAAAAGTGTGGCCTAGAAATCACCCTAATTGTCTTCCTGAACCCTTGCAATGGACGGACAATACACATCCATTGCCTGCCCAGGGAATCATTCCTAGTGTCAGGAACACACTGGGGAGCCATCCCAACATAAAATTCCCCCACCGCACCACACCCTCCACTTCTAGATACCCAAGGCCAGGAAAACTCTGCTCTGTATAGCAATTAAATTCTCAAATATACCAGGTGCAATATGATAGGGCTTAAGACTTGCATAATTGGAAAAATATTTTACAATACAGATTATTAGAAGGATCTGTTTAATTTCTCTTTAAAGAAGTGCAATAGGTTTCTGAAGCATACTTTAGTACTATAAAGTAAATCTCCTGTGAATCATTCAGACACTGCAGTGGCAGTAATTATTTTGTTTTCTTGCCAATATAGTGTGGCTTTAAAACTTAATTATTTAATTTAATCTGAAATGATACATGGCATTTCTAAATGCTCACTCAACTTTCTCTCTGATGAGTTAACAGGCACATAAAACTAAGTATCCTGACTTTTTCTCCAACTGAAAATACATTTGATCTTTTGTAGAGTGAAGGGAATTACATTTTTCTCTTTACAGATAGCTATTGAGCATATGCAAAGGAGTTATATATCAGATCACATGGAAGTGGAGCCTGGATCTATTGATTTCCAAGTAAGGTGTCCTCTCCGACTAACTCCTTTATATCATTTTTTAAAAATTAATTCACAGGATGTAGGTGCTGCTAGTTAGGCCAGCATTTATTGCCTATCCCTAATTGTCCAGAGGGCAGTTAATAGTCAACCACATTGCTGTGGGTCTGGAATCACATGTTGGCCAAACCAGGTAAGGATGGCCATTTCCTTAGGACGTTAGTGAACCAGATGAGTTTCCCCGACAATCAGCAATGGTTTTATGGCCATCATTAGATTCTTAATTCCAGATTTTGTTTATTTAATGTTCAATGAGGCCTGTCACTGTTCACTCTCAAAGGAGTGAAGTGAGAAATATAGAGCTAATGATACAAGTCAAGGATCTGTCATTGGACCTGATCCAATAACAACTGTATCAAACTGAAACATTTGGGAGACTTTTCGATATCCTGACATCATGAAAGGTAATGTAATATTGCAAGTTCTTGTTTCTTGATTCCTTTATGAGAAACCATTGGATGTTTCATTACAATGCTAATGCAAACTTTAACGTTCACCTTTCATAAATTTAGCAGACTAAAAGCATTTAGTCAAAACAGATATAAATAAAATATGTTTATACATATTCTATTTATACTTTAGCCTTGTCCTTGTGAAAAATCAATAGTCTACTAACAACAAAATGTTTTAAGATTTTATACATTATTACAATGACAGCAATCATTAATAAAAATATTTTAAATAACTAACTGCAGATTTAAATATATCTGCCAAATATTTTCCCAGCAGGCAGCTACCAATTTGAAGAGATTACAGTATTATGTTATTCCCTTCCTTTTTGCAATTCATTATGTGCTCTTAACGTAACTACTAAACAAATACAATACTTAAGTTTATCATATTAAACTCCACATTCCTCAATTCATATCGGAGAGTGATCTGTGGATAAATATCGTCAATCAAATAAGAATATCTACTGAAATTAAAATTGATGGAAGGGCACAAAGTAGGGGCTGGGTGGTCTAATTTTTAAAATGATATTAACATTCTTTTGTGTTTGAAAGTCTGTGAAATCTGAAAAGGTCACATTTCTGTGTTGTAATCCTAATTATCATGCCGATCAGGAGTACTTTTACTTTGAGATGGTTATGGGAAACAGTCAAAAGATACTTTTGTGGCTGTTTCATCTAAATTAAGGGAAATGCAGCAATTAAAAATAATTATTCTGTGTCCCACTGGAGGGCCTTGGTTTTTGATTATTTACAAAGCCCATTAGCCGTAAACGCATGCATAGAGATACCAACTTTAAAGTGCACATTAATGAAGCGTAATTCAAAAAAGGAATGTCTTCTCTCGAACAAATATTTTCTTAAACATATTATTTTGACATAATATTAAACACATCCTTCAATACTTTAACTGCTTCATTATTTATGTGCACAAATACAAGATATTATATTTCTGAAGTGTGGTCTTTAAAAAAAAATGCTCTTGCAGCAACGAAGCTATAACCACACAATATGGAGGCATACAAAATAATTATGATACAATTTTGTTTTGTTAATGAATTATTTAAATGTATTTATTAACCAAATAATACTTTAAACAAATATATTGCTGCTAGAAATCTGAATTATAAACAGCACATTTTGGAAACAATCAACAGAGTCAGGCTGCATCTATTGACAGGGAACAAAGTGACCCTTTCAACTTAATACCCAATTTATCAGAACTGGAAGATGTTATAAGAGTTATTCTTATTTACCTAAGTGCAGAGCTAAGCAAAAAGGAATAAAAACAGTAAAACTTGGAAGTGATGCACACTCGTCCCACTCATCCTGCATACCTGAAATTGGATTCTTGTGCAACCAGTACCTTAATTTCCAAGACTAAGTTTTCTATGTTGGTTAGACGATGATGGGGTAAGTCAAAATGAAATGAGTACAGAAATAAAATATGGCTCCGAGGGAGATTTTCAGTGGAATAGGAGTGGAAGATGGAGGCGTGAAAATTTGAAAAGAGAGTGATAACAGTGACCTAGGAAAGTACCAGGAAAATGGCAGTTGAATCCTGAAGGTGTGGATTACCTAAAATAACAGCCTATGTCCCCTGTAGTCCCGTTGCTCCAGAACAATCAGCAGTAACATGTGCTGCTTTAGATAAAATGAAATTAAAGGACTAAACTTCATAATGTTAAGGCAGAAAATAAATCATATTTTCAATCATCTTTCAATCAGAAAACAATTCAATAAAACAATTTGTTCATCAGTGGATAAAGAAAACACCTTCATACATTACCATTGGTAACTAAAGTAATTATCATCATAAATAGAAATTTCTGTAAAAGGGTGACAAATTTGTTATATTCTTAACATTAACCATTATGGAAATCTGGCTCCCATCAAACAGCTGTAATTATGGCAAGTTGTTTGAAAACACAGGAAAATAATAATGTATCTCCTTTTTAAAGTAATCTTTGGAATACTTTCTTTGAACTAACACCTGCTTTATAAATACCTACAACAAAAGTTAACATGCTTTTGAGGAGAGAATGAGGATTAGATTAAATGCACAGAAGATTATGTGAAATCCTTGGACATATTAGGAGCAAGACAACCTCCTACAAACTGTCAACTTGATATTTGTACTGTGAACTGTTCAAATTGCTCAATTTTGGACTGAGTTACTACCGGAAACTGAAGACAGCTTAAAGGTCCTCTCTTTTTAGAACAAATGCTCCATAGGCATGCAGAGTGTGTATTGAGTGTATTATAAAAAGTGCTCATTATGACATTTAAATAAGGTCCTAAGTTTATTATCGGACTCTTTTAAGAACAGCATCTGTGAGAAAAACTATTCAATAAATCATGGTGCTAGACGCAACCAGAACCATGAAGATGTGCAATTTAAGTAGCTTATTTTGCCAAAGTGCCATCTTGGCGCTACTTGTTGGTTACCTTCGTCCAAAAGTAAGCCAAAATGTTTTTTTTTCTTTCTGCTTGTCCTTATTTCTAACATCTGTGTTGTATTTTCTTTAAGTTGTATTTACTTTTTTTTCATTTTAATGATATTCATAAAAATTGCTTAAATCTGAAACAAATATTTCCTCCAGCTAAGATCAAGTCATTGAAAGGTAACTGCGGCCTAGTAGATGAGTAACAGTTTATCTCTAGGTTGTGGCATTGAATGAGCAATAAGTTACTGTTTATTCACATACATGAAAAGTTTCATTTTTTTGTATAAAGGAAGTAATATAATCGTATGTTAATTAATTTGGATTAATTTACTTCTGTTGATGCGGTACAAACATAGGGCACCATTTTTTTGTAGAACTGATTGTAAAAGTAAAGCACTCAGTTAAATTTATTTTTAATGCCCTTTGGAGTCCAGCCATTAAGAGTGCCATGTCTTAATGAGTTGCAGAAACACTGCTGACTCAAAAAAAACATTTGTAAGTGCCAACTCATTATTTCAAGCATGACAACTTCCTGAATAACCAAAGACTCCATTGATTCAACATTAACCTGCTTTGGTGAATTCAAACGAAACAGAAATCTTTTATTTTAATGTAGCATTTCTTTTTTCAAATGAGTGTTTAGCAACATTTGAAAAAATTTTGGCTAAAATGACTTCAAATCATTGAAAACATTTATTCCATTTGTTATGTTGAACACATAGTGGCTATTTAATAGAGGAATCAGGACTACTAACCAATCTAAATTCAGCTTTTGCCATTAAATGGCTGAAAATTAAATATCGTATTACTTTCTCATCAAGGTGTCTCATGTTTCTATCATTTTATATTCCAATATATCTCAGTATTATGCTATTGATTTGCAGATCTCAAACTCACAATGAAATTGCACTTATCTGTGAAAATCGAATGTAGATCACAGAGTTAATTACCTTATAATTAATTCTTCATTTTTTTGTGTCTCTTCAGTGACTTGAGCATGAACAATATTAATGAACTACAGCTGAATGCTTTTGGAGATCTTCATTTCTTGGAAGAACTGTAAGTAATCGAACAATATCAAGAGCAAACAACTATACTAATGGGGTTGAAAAATTTAGCAAAAGTTGATGTACAATTAATATTTCACACTTTTCCATAACTCTGGTCATGCCTGAATGCATTTATAACTTGTTCATCTAGAAAACTGGTCTAATCAAACCATGAGCAAAAATGGAACTGGAATTTAGGTAATACTTTTCCCAACCTTTGAACATCTTCATCATTCTGAACTAGTTTTGAAGAGTCATCGTTTTTGTGATGCGGTGAAACATAACAGCAATTTACATACAGTAAGTTGGCACAAGCAGTAACTGCCCATTTCATTTTTCATTGCTCATATATATATTGAAATTTGGACTTCTGGCTACGTCATTGTTGCTGTTTGTAATGATTTTATTTTATTTATTTATTTATTGTCGCACATACTTTGTTATAAAATACAGTGAAAAGTGTTCTTTCATGTCGCTACTCTCCAGCGCCATTTTAGAGCGCAGAAAAAAAAACAAAACATAGAATATAAAGGCAGAAGAATAAAGAAATAAAGAACAAGTGTTAAACTTTATAGTACTTCTTGTCAAATGCTCTGTCATGGGGCTTGGGCAATGGGCATGGACCTAGTGGCCAGGCATGAATCCCTTTGCCATGCCACCACCACTGGAATGAAATTCACCACTCATTGGCATCATCTTGCCTCCACCAATGCCCTCATCGTTACAAGTCCTTGCTGGACTTTGCCAATAAAAATGCTCCCGCCAGGTACCATACTGTGACAAAATCAAATCCACCACTGCCTTGAGTCTGCCTCGAGTCACTACTGATGCCACAGGGTCTTGCACTGAACACAAACCCATGTCCGCCACCAACTCCATGAATCTAATGAAATCCCATACATGTGAACATACAAATATATGAATTAAGAGCACGAGTAGGCCACTTGGCTCCTTGAGCCTGCTCCGCCATTCAATAGAATTGTGACTGATCTTGTCCAGCACAAGCCTTCTTATCCTTGATAACCTTTTACTCCCTTGCTTATCAAGAATCAATCTCTCTCTCCATAAAAAGATTCAAAGATTTTGCCTCACTGCCTTTGAGGAAGGGAATTCCAAAGACCGATGACTCTTAGTGAGAAAGTATTTCTCCTCATCCCTGTCTTAAATAGGCAGACCCTTATTTTTAAACAGTGACCCCTAGTTCTATATTCTCCCACAAGTGTACACACCCTTTCTATATACATCATCAGTTTCTTCTTTATTTCAAGCATGTTGCATCTTACTCTTCTAAACCCCAGTGAATATATGCCAGGTATGTCCAATCTTTCCTCATTAGACAACCTACCCCTTCCATGTATGAGTCAAGAAATGCTTGGGACATCTCCCCACCTAAACCAACAGTAATGGCTATGCCACCCACTTTCATCTTCCTTAATAGCTGCTTCTCTCTCATTCCAGCAGGTGAACAGCCCGCAGTAGAGCAGAAAGAATCAAGATGGGTCATATACTACCTGTCATTTTGGTTCTCACCCATTTATAAGGAGAACTTCCTGAGTCTGAGCGCAGCCTGGACTGGTATTGGGAGCCGCTCCTAACGTACTGTGCCAGGAACCCCTGAGCAAAGGCTAGCCACCTTGACTTGATTGAGGCCTGCTGTCAAATATGCCAAGCTTCCTGACTTTATGTCTGCACTAAACAGCTGGACAAGACAGCAGTGTTACGAGTCTGGTATATCTGCCTGAAGTAACAAAACACGCAAAGGCAAAGTAAGTCAGTGATTCTGTGAGCATCTAATTAGGCACAGAGTGAACGGATACAATGACAGTGAGTGAAGAGCCTGGAGATGCAGCCTAGTCCAGCCCATGAGCTGAGTGCATGTCCCTAAGTGCACAATGTCCTTGCAGGAGCATTACAATGACAGTTCGCTGGTAGAGCCGACGTGCTCAATTAAAGCATTGAAGCATCCTGTAAGTGGATTGGAAATGTGCAATGAAGGTTCATAAAGGCTGACACATGTCAGATGTCAATGTCCATGGATGTAGGTCGTGAATGCCTGGTGCCCTTGGAGCATGCTCTGAGATGTTGGTGACCACTGTCCAACATGGAGGTCATTCAGAGCAAGTGGTGAGCTGAAGCTTCCAGATGCTATCTCTGGTTTCTTTGTTGAGTTTTCCCAAAATCTAGCCTGTTTGGGGAGCTTAATAAGATGGGATTCTGAATATTAATGAGATGTATTGTAACGTTCATAAGGTGTTTAAGAAGCAATCATCCCTCTTGTTTGGCACTTAATTGCTGCTTAGCAAGAATCTTGTCGTGTTGCTTGTGAGAAACACAAGAGTTGATGCAAATTTTCCCAATGTCAAAATGGACCTTGACCCACTTGATGCTCAATTCTACCACACATCCCGGGGAGATAGTGAGGAAAGAGATCGGTTTGAGACTGGTACATTTGGGAAAAGAAGTAAGTCAAACAGACAAGACAGGCAGGAACAAAGTAGAGAATGAGGTCAGGTTGATAAATTAAACTGCATTTATTTCAATACAAGAGGCCTAACAGGTAGGGCAGGTTATCAAGCAATTACAGAGATGTGACTCAAGGACGGACAGGACTGGCAGCTTAATGTTTCAGGGTATAAATGTTACAGGATAGATTGAAAGGGGAGCAAGAGAGGAGGGGGACTGGCTCTTGGTCCAGATCATTATCTCGCACACATCTGATAGCGCTGACAAGTTCCAAGTTCTCTCTTCGACGGCAATTGAAAAACAAAATAATTATACATAGGGCTACTTCAGGTGAAATTTTATTTTGTGCTTTATTTATCATCTTTAGTTATCATCCTGCCTCTCTTTTAAATAAATCAAGAGCAGAGCCAGGACTCAAATGCAAAGCCTTAGATTTTTGTCTGCTACGGAAAGAATTTCCATATTAAACTAATCCCATTATGAAACAGTGCACTCCAATTAACAAAGGAAATGAAATTTTAATATGAGCTTAATCAGGTTAATCTGCAAGCTTCTCTGTCAGTTGAGGAAAATGTCAACAGTCCCAGATGTGAATTGCTTAACATATACTGAACTGTTTAACATGCTGATCTGTTTTTTTCTGCCTCTGGTTTAACTGTGACCTGGATATGGCCTTCCTGTCACAGTGAAACTACATTGAAATATTGAAATGTTGCCATCTGAAGGTCCCAAAGTCCTTGTAAAATAATATAAGCAGATTTTATTGAGTGTGTGTGTGCGGTAATGTGCCGCACCTTGGTCTCTTCACCCATTGTCATTGTGCTCACACATTCTGAGCCTACCTGGATGCTCACAACATCCTTGAGTTACCTTGCCTTTGTGCGCTTTGCTCCTTCAGGCAGAGATACCAGGCACATAATACTGCTGTCTTGCATTTGTGTATGTGTGTGCGCATGCATGCACGTACAAGTGTATTTGTAAATGCGCGTGCGCATGTATGTAGATGTGGGTGTTTTGGAGCTATCCTCTAACAATTAAAATAAAAAAAGCAACAATTAAAATAATTTCCACCCCACCCTTTTTTATAGCATGGCAGGGAAAAGAATTTAATGAGATAAGTAAGAAGTTAACACACTTTTAGAAAGCAAGTTCTAACTGAGGCCTTATGGCAAAAATCAGGCATACGTAACGGAATAAAAATGATGGGTGTGGAGTCTATTGAAATTTGGGGTGAACATCTGTAATTTTCAGAAAGGATTACCTGATTTCTTTTGTTTCTTTGATGAGCAAAAGCAGCCAATTCCTGGGGACTTGTATTCATCTTTCGTTGACTTTATGGAAAGAGATTGGGAAGCCCTTGACTGTAAGGGCCAGATTTGACACATAGAGGTGGATAGCTTAAGTCAGAATTGTCAGACCAACCTCGATTTTCAGAACCTCTAGAAACAATTTTCAGTCTAGAGAGTCTAAAATAATTATAGGCTGCAATGAAGGTGGGCAAGTGCTGAAACAGACTAGTTAGAAGCCCTGCTCCAGTTTCCTGGGACTTTGCCCCATTTGCTTTAAAAGCTGTTAGGCCCTCAAACCTCCATCTTACACTTCCCTCTCATTTCTTCAACCTCCATCCCCCGTAGCTGCATACATCACCTCATGCCCATCTCACACCATGGCTCATCCATAGCTTCTCATCAGTAGTATCCATCATGGACAGATATCCGGACTCAAGTGGAGATGAAGAAAAGCCTAGTAATCTAATACAGTTTTTGATCAGGTGCCAGGATTTTTGCAAGAGCCCATGTCTTTTGCTGAGCTGAGGGTAGGGATGCATCTGCCCGAATAGTAGGTTGGGATTTAGTCAGGTTGGGTGGAGGTTGTGAGATGTGTAAGGAAAGAGAAGGATAAGATTGTAAGAGAAGTAGAGGGGAGGAGGAAGATGCAAGGGGGTGGCAGGAGGAGAGGGCTACAAGAGGATTGTGGGCAGAAAAGACGGATGCAGAAAAGGCAGGGAGAAGAAAGAAGCTGCAAAAGGACTGGGGAGGGGAGAGGGAAATTGCAAATGTTTCGGAATGGGAGCGAGAAGCTGCAAGGGAGGACAGAAATTTGAAAAAAGGGAGAACAATTTTAAACTTTTCAATGGATTAATATTCAGCCAACTTGGAGCCACAAAACCAGGAAGTCATTGAAGTAATGAATTAATTGCAAATGATGTGAAATCTTTGACTTAAGGCTGGATAAATTTAGGTGCCATTATATGGTGAAGATTGTAGTGGATGCCGTTGAAATGAACACTGATACAGATGGTAAAGACAAATATGAGACTAAGATCTGGGATGCAGCATAGGGGGTGGTAACTGCTTAGTTAAAGTATTCTAGCTCTGTATATATTTGATGGAAATGCATTAGCTGTGACCTTACCAGTCTGCCAAAAGTGTGTTTAGTGTGATGGCTTTTTGTATGTAGCAATGTGTGTCAGTTGTTTTGAAATCTTCAATGCCTGTTGACTCATGCCAATTCAAATTCCATAGTAACAATGAAATTAATGGAGAT